TTCGTCCTCCTGACCTCCTCCAGACCTCCTCCAGACCTCCTCCAGACCTCCTCCTGGCCCCCTCCAGTTAGCTCCTCCAGACCTCCTCCTGTCCTCCTCCTGTCCTCCTCCTGTCCTCCTCCGGACCTCCTCTGTCCTCCTCCTGACCTCCTCCAGACCTCCTCCTGTCCCAGACCGCCTCCTGACCCCCTCAGACCTCCTGATCTTCTCCTGACCTCCTCCTGTCCTCCTCCTGACCTCCTCCTGTCGCCTTTCTTACCTCCTCCTATCCTCCTCCTGACCTTCTCCTGTCCCAGACCTCCTCCTGATCTTCTCCTGACCTCCTCCTGACCTCCTCCTGTCCCAGACCGCCTCCTGACCCCCTCAGACCTCCTGATCTTCTCCTGACCTCCTCGTGACCTCCTCCTGTCGTCTTTCTTACCTCCTCCTATCCTCCTCCTGACCTTCTCCTGTCCCAGACCTCCTCCTGACCTTCTCCTGTCCCAGACCTCTTCCTGACCTCCTCCTGTCCCAGACCTCTTCCTGACCTCCTCCTGTCCCAGACCTCCTCCTGATCTTCTCCTGACCTCCTCCTGTCCTCCTCCTGACCTCCTCCTGTCCAAGACCTCCTCCTGTCCTCCTCCTGACCTCCTCCAGACCTTCTCCTGACCTCCTCCTGACCTCTTCCTGTCCTCCTCCCAATCTCCTCCTGACCTTCTCCAGACCTCCTCCTGTCCTCCACCTGTCATCCTCCTGTTGTCCTCCTGTCTTCCTCCTGACCTCCTCCTCTCCTCCTCCTGTCCTCCTCCTGTCTCTCTTCAGTAAAAAAACGTCATCCTGACCGTTGCTGTTGAGGCTTCATTCGACGATCAGCTGATCACTGTCAGGTCTTTGCTCCTACTATCCTGTCGTCCTCCTATCCTCCTCCTGACCTCTTCCTGTCCTCCTTCTGTCCCAGACCTCCTCCTGTCCCAGACCTCCTCCTGTCGATCGTCAGGTCTTTGCTCCCCATTCTTAAAGACTTGACTGTCAGATACACACTTCACACCACGCTGAGATTAGGTAAGTTTCCAGCTAACAGCTGTTGGTGCCACTATTTCAGGTCAAACTGTGTTTTTTCATTTTTTTGTAGATTTAGCAAAAGAAGCAAATGACGTGTTTTGTGAAAGGCGAGCAAACACAACGAGCCTGAAGATCTGTTTTAAAATGAAAATTGAAATGTTGTGTGTTCATCTAGTTCATCCCTTGAGTTAGAGGCTCACCTCGGCTTTACGAGTAGAACTGAGCTCGGTGTTACGGTCGAAGCGGTGAACAGACCTTTGTGGGCTGTGAGCGCGCTTCATCTGCTCACGTGGCCTTTGCGTGTTTCCTAGCAGTGGAAACGTAGCTGAATCACATTAAAAGAAGTGCGGTGTGACAGAGAGCTGGGCACGGCGCCGTGTTTTGGAAAG